CAGCTCCAGTCCCCCAAGGTGGCCCACAGTTGACAAGGCACAGCAGGGACTGTCCTGCACTGTGGACAAGATGCTCTCTACATATTCATGTGCAAGACTGAATCCTCTGAGAAGGTTGAGGTGTGCCTGCATCGTGACCCCACAGCAACTCTCCTAGGGGAGTGTGTGCACAGGGACACCTTTCAGTGTCCCCACCTGGAACAGCCCAGGTGCAGCAGTGGTAGAATGTATAGATAAATTGTGTTCGTCTTTTCTAGGAAGGTGGTAAATCTTCTCTTGGTCACACAGCTGGTGCAGAGCCTGGAGATGATTCCCCTGCCACCTGTTTAGTCCTTTCTCTAGTGCTGCATGTTGACTTAGATGGTGTGTTTGACCCTGTGTGTCTCTCCCTGTCCCCAGAGCCTCCAGCTGTGTTTGCCAAGGAGCAGCCAGCACGCAGGGAGGTGCTCTGCAAGGCGGGGGCCAGTGCCACCCTGAGCTGTGAGGTGGCCCAGGCCCAGACAGAGGTGACGTGGTACAAGGATGGGAAGAAGCTGAGCGCGAGCTCCAGCGTGCACGTGGAGGCCAAGGGCTGCAGCAGGCGGCTGGTGGTGCAGCAGGCGGGGAAGGCGGATGCCGGGGAGTACAGCTGCGAGGCTGGGGGCCAGAAGGTGTCCTTCCACTTGGACGTCACAGGTCAGTTCTTTGGGTAGTGAATTAGCCTTGTTTGGGAACATGGGACTGATTTTTGAGCCCAGATTATCCTTAGTATTCTCACCATCACCTGCCATGTCACATTCTCCCACCTTCCTCTTTTCACTCCCATGACAGGGTCAAGAGTGGCTTGACTGGACGGGTGTGTAAGAAGGAGGGGGACGACTTGTGTCCACCTTCAGTGGTGTTTAGCACATTGATACTTAGTTCTATGTTCCTCAAACCTGCCCAGTTTCTTCGTGGCCTGGAACTCTCAGTCTGCTTGGCATTTGGGTCTGAAGGAGCACAGGTGCTTCTCACCTGGGAATATGTAAATTTCCTTCTGTTGGATCCTCTGGCAGATACTAGGTTCGCTCCCGCAGAACCACAGGCAGGTCATCACCAGCCAGATGTTTGGATCCCATTGATCAAGGATAAGTGGGAAATTTCAACTACCCATCTGTACTTGTAAATATCTCAGACTGACTTTGGATTATCCATGTTTTAGATGTTCTGTGAATTTCTTCCTTCCTTGCACATGGATAGAGAAGCTCTCTCTGCTTTTTCGGAGACATCTAGATCCATTCCATGCTGTGATGTCTGTGCAAAGTATACAAAAGTAGAGATTGGTAGATACACGCCTGTGACACATACCTCTAGGTACAGGATATTCCTTTTAAAGCATATCTTTTGTATTCAGTTAAACCATTCTTTGTCAGAATTCCTTTGGAGTCTGATATATAAATTTAGAAATAGAGAGGAAAAAAACTTAAGCTATGTCAGCACACATTGCTAAAGATGAGTTACTATTACGGCAGCCTGACTGGTGGACCAGTATTTATTTGGTAGCATTACCTAATGGTTGGTGTCTATTTGTGCTTCCTTGGCTGGTTGATAGAGAAGGTTGAGAAATATATTCATTTTCTTAATTCTTAATTTTCTTTTAAGAGAGTCTTAGCATTCAATAAGGGTTCCACGTTTGACCTGGAGGTGCCACCACAAAACAGTGTGGTATCCTTTCTGTACTTAGTGGCTTGTGGGTGTGTATAGATAGCAAAAAAATCATGCTAGTTATCTTTGTGAAACATTATGTGAAGAGAACTTGACAGATTATTTCATGGTAAGAATTTTGAAAGTTTTAAAATTTAATAGGAAACTAACATATCAAAGCTGACATAAGGAGACATAGAAAACTCAAATAGTCCTATAAATTTTAAAGAAATGGAACAAGTAATAAGAAATTATTTTCAGGGCACCTGGGTGGCCAGTTGGTGAAGAATCTGATTCTTGATTTCGGCTCAGGTCATGATGTCAGGGTTGTGAGATCAAGCCCTGCATCGGGCTCTGTGCTGGGTGTGGAGCTTGCTCAAGATTCTCCCTGTTCTTCTAACTTTGGCGCTTCCTCCTCTCTCTCTCTCTAAAAAACTAAATATTTTCATAGAGAACAGTCTAAGCCAAGTGGATCTACTGGTTAGTTCTACCAAATATTCCTGGAAAGGCATTATTCCATTTTCATGAAGGTTCTTCTAGAGAATAAAAAAAAGGATGTACAGTCTCCAACTCATTTTATGGAGAGGTAGATAGCATAATATTTAATATTGAAATCTTATGAAGAAAATATATGGAGTTAAAAATAGAGGCCAGTACCTTATGAATATCAAGGCTAAACTCTTAAACAAGATATTAGCCAACCAAGTTGGACAACATATGAAGGGGACAATATAGTATGATGGAAGTTGTAGTACAAGAGCGTCTGGTTGCTTTAACATTAGATACTTAAAAAAGCAGAAGAATGCATGATATTAACATACTAAAAGAGAAAAAGTTGGTTATCTTAATAAATGCCGAATAAAACTATTTGGTGAAATTTAATTAACATTATCCTGTAATACAAAATTATTAACTAACTATAAATAAAGGGGTTAGTTAGCATCACACTTAACAATTAGCCAAAACGTGGAAAGAGTGAAAATGAACTTTTGGAACTTCATCAAGATCGAAAGCTTCTGCACAGCAAAGGAAACCGTCAACAAGACAAAGAGGCAGCCCACGGAATGGGAGAAGATATTCGCAAATGACACTACAGACAAAGGGTTGATATCCAAGATCTATAAAGACCTCCTCAAACTCAACACTCAAAAAACAGATAATCACATCAAGAAATGGGCAGAAGACGTTTGGAGAAGACACTTCTCCAAAGAAGACATACAAATGGCTAAGTGAAATAAGTCAGTCAGAGCAAAACACATATCTTATGATTTCATTCACATGTGGAATTTTTTTTTTTAAGATTTTATTTTATTTATTTATTTGACAGACAGAGATCACAAGTAGGCAGAGAGGCAGGCAGAGAGAGAGAGGAGGAAGCAGGCTCCCCACTGAGCAGACAGCCCAGTGCAGGACTCAATCCCAGGACCCTGGGATTATGACCTGAGCCAAAGGCAGAGGCTTTAACCCAATGAGCCACTCAGGCGCCCCTCACATGTGGAATTTAAGAAAGAAAACCGATGACAGTGGGGGAAGGGAAGGGAAAAGAAAATAAAGTGAAAACAGAGAAGGAGAGAAACCATAAGAGACTCTTAACTGTAAGGAACAAGCTGAGGGCTGCTGGAGGGGGGTGGTTGGGGGGATGGGGTAGCTGGGGGATGGGTATGAAGGAGGCATGTGACGGAAAGAGCACTGGGTGTTACATGCAACTGATGCATCACTAAATTCTACACCTGAAACTAATGTAAAAAAGTGAAAGACCTGACTTTGTGATTGGAAATGAGGTAGGGAGGCTTTCTGTCCAACGACCTGGCAGCACGATAAGGAGGAAAATCAGAGAAAGGTATAAAATAAAGGAAAGAAGTGGAGTTTAGTTTATCTTTTTCTTTCAGTATTTGGTTTACATTCCAGTTAGTTAACTTACAGTGTAATGGCCAAAGACACCAGAAAATTCGCCTCACCTTATCAGTGCTCAGAACCCTGCAAAGATGGCCACGGGCAGGTGCAGCTTCCATCCCACAAGGCTACCAACAGCTGACAGTGCAGGACAGGCATGAGGGTGGAGTGGAGGAGCTCCTGCACATGGCTGAGGAAAGACTCCGCCTCACCTGGGAAGATGGGCCTGTTTCCTGACCCCACAGATCCTCTCCTAAAGGAGTATGTGTGGGGAGGGCTTACAGCATCTGCATCCGCAGAACAACACGGAGCTGTGGTAGGTGGTACCAGTAGACTGTGGGTACCCATTGCTGAGGGAGTTTCTCTGGGCCACACAGCTCGTGCAGAACCTGGGGACATTTCTGTCCCCCTGCCTCTCCATTCAGGTTCCTTTCACCACTGCTGCATTCCTGACTTACAAGGTGACTCTGATTGTGTGTCCATCCCTATTCCCCAGAACCTACACCGGTGTTTGCCAAGGACCAGCCAGCACACAAGGAGGTGCAGGCCAAGGCAGGGGCTAGTGCCACCCTGAGCTGCGAGGTGGCCCAGGACAAGACGGAAGTGACATGGTACAAAGACGGAAAGAAGCTGAGTACGAGCTCCAACGTGCACGTGGAGGCCAAGGGCTGCAGCAGGCAGCTGGTGGTGCAGCAGGCGGGGAAGGCAGACACCGGGGAGTACAGCTGCGAGGCAGGGGGCCAGAAGGTGTCCTTCCACCTGGATGTCACAGGTCAGTTCCTTCTGGTACCACCTTGTCTTGTTTGGAGGTAATGAAAGCATTGCATTACAGACCCCATAGGCTCTGATGCTCTTTCCCTTAGTCTTCACGTTTCACCTTGGCCATCCCGTTGTCTTCTGTTTTCATAGGCATGGCTATGACTGGTGGAGGTTTAATGAGAAGGGTGCGTATGGGGGGAGAGGGGCCATCTGTGCCCCGAGCCGTGCTCTCGTGTCCTAATGCTTAGTCATGCATCTCAGCACCCGCAGAGAACACTCCCAGTGTCTCCTGGTGCCCAGGACGAAGGCTGTGCTTCATGCTTGGGTGCTGAAGTAGCTCAGCACCTCACACCTTGGTTATGTGACTGTGCTTCTTCTGGGTGCCCTAGGTGCCCTGTTCAGGATCGCATGGGATTCTTGCTAGTGAGAGACATTTCGATTTCTTTAAATCAGGATAGGGGAAGTTTTGATCATATAATCATCCTTAGAAATGTCTCAACTGAACTTTAGAATATAATGTTTTAGGACACTGGTCACTGTTTTGCACATGGATATGTTATCTGTGCACCCGTATAGGTAGCAAACCTAGACCCATGTTTTCCTTCAGAGACTGTGCAAAGTAAACAGAACCAGAGCGTTGGTATGTATGTGCCTGAGATAGTCACATGCAAGTTCTGGAATTCTCTTTCTAAAGAAAATCTTATTTCCTCGTGTCCTCAGTAAGGCCATTCTGTATCAGAATTCCTCTTGGACTTTAATTTACAGGTTTAGAAAGGGAGGAAGTAAGCAGTCTAGGCTGTATCATCATGCTTTGCTATAGATGAGTCCTTGTGGTGGCAGTCATTGGGTGGTGTAGGAGTATATAGGGTCATTTCCTAGTGGTTATGTGTATTTGTGCCTCGGGGATGCTTTATGGGGAAGTCTGAGGACTAAATGTGTTTTCATTTTGGTAAATTGCTCTTAAGCTCCGAGAATGCTGGGCTGTAACACCACATTGACTCCCAGGTGCCAACATACAATAGTTATGATAGTATATCAGTATATAATATTTTTGGGTGTGTACAGATACCACAAAACTTCCATCTCCCTAAAATGATATTTTGTGAGAGTATGGCATGTTATTTTATGAAATCAGTTCGCAGAGTTTTGATAAATTGGCCAAATTCTTAGACAAGCATATGAAAAAGTGACACAAGAAGAAATAGATAACTTAAGTAGTCCCGTCACTTTAAGAGCGTGGAAATAGTAATCAAAATTTTCATAGAGAATGATCTAAACCTAGTGGTTTTGTTGATAAATTACACCACATATTCTGGAAAGTAATTATTCCATGTTCATGGAGATTCTCCTAGATAATAAACTAAAGATATCTATCCTCCAGTTTGATTCACAGAGCTAATATAACACAGTACCAAAATCTGACACGGAAAGTAGGAAGGATTAAAATTTTATGCCAGTCTCCTGTGGATATCTAGGCCATGTCTTCAACAAACTATTGGCAAAATCATCTGAGCAGGATGTCAATGAAAATGCACTATTTGGAAGTCTTAGTCTAGGAATGCAATGTTGGTTTAATAGTCAAAACATTAGAAAATCACTGTAGTTGATCCTTGCATGATGAGGGGGTAGGGGTGGAAATATCCCATGTAGCCAAAAATCTATATATAAGTTTTGAGTCCCCCAAAACTTGACGGTTAAGAGGCTATTGACTGAGACTCTAATAACTTAGTTGATTAGCACATATTTTGTGTGCTATATGTACCATACACTGTATTCTTACAGTAAAGTAAGCTAGAGAGAAGAAAATGGTATTAAGAACATTACAAGAAAGAGAAAATACATTTGCAGTTCTGTATTGTATTTACTGAAAAAAGTCTGCATTTAAATGGACCCATAATGTTCAAACCTATGTTGATTAAGAATCAACTGTATAATGTGACACTACCTGCTTAAAGGAGAAAAATAATAGCTTATCTCAAGAAATGCAGAAGAAAGTTTGATAAAGTATAACATAAACCCCGAGCAAATGTTTGATAAGTTTTAGCCTCCATTCGTGCTATAAAATTCTTAACCAACTAGCAGTAAACCAGTTCTTCCTTACTTTGATAAACAGCACTACAGGAAACAACAGAAACCTCATTCTTAATGCAAAACCCTGAGGGGTTTACCTATGAGATAGGGATTAAGAGAAGGAGGTGCACTGTTAACACTCACAGCACAGAAGGAGGAAATAAAATGCATAAAACTTGGAAAACAAGGTAAAATTCATAGGTGATACAGTTACCACGTCTGAAATTTCAAAGGAAAATTGTTAGACTTTGTGTGTAATCAGAAAGATAACCACGTACAAATGTGAACACATAGTAAATGCTTCTGTATGTATAAACAGACAAGAAACCATTTGAAAGTGAAAATTTAAAAGATTTAAAATAGCATCAGAAGTATCATGTTTCTAATTCCAAATCTAATAAAACGTGCTTAGTATCTTTGTGAGGGAAAATTGTTGAACATTTTTGAGAGAAAATAAAGAAGGTCTAAGTAAATGGATAGGAATCCATGGAACAATCTGAGATGATCATTGATAATTCAAATCCAAGCAGATTTTCGTTGGGAGGATGGTGGAGGGTGATGAAAATTGGTAAGTAGCTTCAGTGTGAGTATTTGCACTACAAATATCTGCCGTAGCATTACTATAAAGCTACAGTGACGTAGACAGCCAGATCTCAAAGATTGGACAGTTATCAGATAAAAAGCACAGAATAAAGAGCTCAGAAACAGATCCATCCATATATGAACTCCTGCCTCACCTGCACTTTTTTCTTTTTTGACATCATGTCTGGTCTTTGCAATAAGAAAACTAATTTTTTGCCATTAAACCATATGGAAAAAAAGTTGTCAGGTAATTCACAGTGCACACAAGTCCAATTCTAAATGGGCTGGAGACCCCAGGGTGACAGGTGGCACAATGACCCTCTGAGATGAGGATTAGATTACAGTCTAATAAGGGAATTCTGACACAACAGAAATGCCCTAGCTACCTTGGGACAGGAATGACAGGATTGCCCACAAAGAAATGAAAATCGTTGATTCATTAGAAGACACCAGAAAGGAGTAAAAAGACAAGCCACACACATGTGGAAGAGAGACACCCTGTCAAGCAAATAGAGCTCCTAAAAATAAATGTGAGAAAGACAGGTAGGGCTATTGGCCATTGGACAAACGCATGACACTGACATTACCTAAGAACAAGCAGTAATGGCAGGAAAGACTAGAGAAGTTGCTCCACTGTGTGAGTCATGAGAATATGAAAAAAAAAAAAAAAGAAAATATAGAAACCAAAACCTGCAACACGCACAACTACATACCACCAAGACTTCCAGAAGTTGTCAGGACAGAACTTGAAGTTCTGAAGCCTGAGGAACTCTGTGCACTAAAGGGAAGGTGCTCCCTGAAAACTTTGTGGGAAGACTTTGCATCCTCTGGGAAGGCTGAGGTGTGCAGATAGCAGTAGTCCACAGGTTCCTGTGAACAGGAGTCTCTTTCAACATCCACACCTGCAAGACCAACATGGAGCAGTGACAGAGTGTCTGGTCTCCACGAGGGAGCAGTGGAGCAGTGGTAGAATTATAGTCCTCACCTGGTACAGCTCACATGGAGCAGAGATAGAATGAGAGGTCCTCACGTGGGACAGCCCATGTGGAACAGTGATAGAATGAGAGGTCCTCACGTGGGACAGCCCATGTGGAGCAGTGATAGGATGAGTGGTCCTCACGTGGGACAGCCCATGTGGAGCAGTGATAGAATGCATGGTCACCAGCTAGGACACCCCGTGAAGCAGTGATAGACTGTGTGGTCCCATGTGGGACAGTCCACATAAAGCAGAGAGAGAATGTGTGTTCCCCATGTGGGCCAGCCACGTGGAGCAGGTACAGAATTTGTGGTCACACCTGGGACAGTCCTTGGGGAGCAGTGTTAGAATGTGTGGTCCCACCTGGGACAGCCCACGTGGAGCAGTGTTAGAATGTGTGGTCCCACCTGGGATAGCACCCGAGGAGTGATAGAATGCGTGGTCCCCTCCTGAGAGTACCCATTTGCAGCAGTGATAGAATGTGTGGTCCCCACTTGAGACAGTCCTTGTGGAGCAGTGAGAGAATGTATGGTCACCACATGGGACAGCCCACTTGGAGCAATGATAGACTGTGTGGTGTACGCTTGGGACAGCCCACATGTAGCAGAGAGAGAATGTGTGGTCCCTATTAGGGACTACCCACATGGAGCACTGATAGAGTGTGTGGTCGCCACATGGGGCAGCCCTTGTGGAGCAGTGTTAGGATGCAAGGTTCCCACCAAGGAGAGCTGGGACATCCCATGTGAAGGAGTGATAGAATATATGTTCCCCAAGTGGGACATCCACGTGAAGGAGTGATAGAATGTATGATCCCCGCCGGGACAGCCCACGTGGAGCAGTGATATAATATATGTTCTCCCACCCACAGGGCTGATGGATTGGGTAGGTAGATTGTGTTACTTAGTGTCAAGAAGGCTATGGGGCTTTTCCAGACCTCACAGCTGATGCAGAGCCTGGAGACGTTTCCACATTTCCCCTCCCTCCCGGTTTAGTCCTTCTTCCGCTAGTGCTGCCTTCCTAAGGCACATGGTATCTTCAATCATGTGCATCTCTCTCTGTGCCCAGAACCCTCGGTGGTGTTTGCCAAGGAGCAGCCAGCACGCAGGGAGGTGCTCTGCAA